GCACCTGGAAATATGTCCGTTCCGGAAGCGTTGGAAAGGGCCTCCCCTGTCAAGATACGTCTGGGCCATGTCTTGTTCAAACAGCAGGTTTGTGCGTTGTAGCGCGGCGGAAGACATCTTTCCGCCGCACAGTGGCAGGGTTTCGCCAGTGCAAGCCATCGGCCAATGGAAGAAGCTCTCAAAGAGTTGGATTGCATACGTCGACAAATTAAGAATGTACAGAGCCGCCAGTCCGCTAAGCGGAGGTTGGCCGTGCAAGCAGAATTCTTGGTACCACGGCCGCTTCAAAAGCGTGTTCTGTTGGTGTACATGTACAGTGGGCACTGTAGCCAGGTCGCAGCCGAGTTTCTAAGGCGTTGCTTTGCAGGTTGCCAAGCAGCGGCAGAAGAGAGCATGGATTATGAAGCCGTGGTGGAAGATCTTTACCTGGCAGCTCCGCTGGATGAAATCGTTGACTTGGAAACTGCGCCACTAACCTGTGTCCGGACAAGTGACGCACTGGCGGCAATGGAGTTTACAGTGCAGCAGAAACTGCATTCGTGGGTGGCGTCGCTTAACACGGAGAAAGGTGTTGCCCCCAGCCGCTCCATGATGGTAGCCTACGCCATGGACAACATTCCCTCGGCAGTGCCCGACGAGCTTCGGGCTGGCTTGGTGCAGCGTTTGAATGGCTCTCCCCGTGCTCAACGCAAATGGTTGGCTCGCTTCAGGCGACAGTGGCAATGTCGGGTGGGACGCTTGCCAGTTGAAGATGTGGTACCGTCCAACTTGGAACAAAAAGCTACCAGACAGAATAGCAGCATTTTGTTCGTGTGACTTCGTGTGTTAGAGTTCGACATTCCCCTGAAGTGTAACGTTGCAGAAACGCCCCAATGCCTGGAGTTCATGGGTTCTGCCGTCCCTTGCGCAGATGTTCAGAGTTTCGGTCTTCTGTGCACGGTTGATGCCTTTTGAAAAGCACCTGCATTGGGGCGGTGTGAAACCAGCGTTGGGGCAGTGTCAGTGTGAAAGGCGGTCATCGTATTTTGCACCATTTAGGGGCCCTGGCAATTGCCACGGACCCATTTCTGGCACCCTTTTTGGGGGCCCTGGCGGCAATTGCCACGGACCCGTTTCTGGTACCCTTTTTCGGGACCCTTTCTTTTTGGCTGGCTCTGCGAAGCTGTTATGGGGATCCGTTTTTGGGTCCCAAATCGAAAACGCAGAGGGACCTCTTTCGGTACCGGTTTTGGGTGCTGGGAAAATGGCCCAAAGTTTGCATTCTGTCCGCTCAGGTAACAGCCTTTTGGCAATGGATTAATTTTGCTTGGGCTGAAGCTGAAGAGGCCAAGGAGACACCTTTGGTTTTGAATGCGGATGAAACCTGCATCGCTTGGGTGAAAGGCCTTTCTGGCACTGTTGCGAAAACGACCCAAGCTCGCTGTGCTGCAGATAGAGCCAGCTTGGCGCAGCGTCGAAGCAACTTCACGTTGCTGGCGTGCATTTGTGCAGAGTCACGGATACAACCGCTACTACCGCAGTTTATCTTGGTCAATAAGCGCCAGATAACCATGAAGGAGTTGGCAGTTGTGAAAGGTCTGCTACCACCTCAAACATATGTTGTCCGAGGGCAAAGTGCCTGGTGCAGTCACGAATTGCTCCGGCGGTTCCTGACTGCGTTGGCAACCAGCCTTGAACCTGTTTCCCACGGAAGATACATTATATTGCTGCTGGACTGCGCGGCGTGCCACCTACACGACAGCATTCGCAGCCACGCGGCGCGATTGA